TATTAATGATAGTTTAAAAAACAATTTTAAAAACTTACTTGAAATTATTTTGATTGGATTGACAATATTTATCAAGATCTGTAATATTTCCTATTTGTCATCAGCTAAAATCATTCACAACATCTAAAAGAGGATCAACTTTTGAAACAGCATCAGATCCTGTGTACAAACATGTGAACTCAGAGTTTGCGTTCCTTTGTCCTTACGTTAGGTTCATTTGCTTTATGTTGATTTGTGGGGTTTTTTACGACTGATTTGTGATTTTGTGAATATGGCAAAATAAGTAGCATAAAAAAGTACCAGATATTACAGTTTTAGTACATCATTGACTTTTTACAAAACAATAGTTATACTAACATGAGCTGACATTTCTGCCTAAAAAAATTAGTCAGACAACTGCAGCTGATCCAGAAAGCTGCTGCTAGAGTCCTCACCAAAACCAAGATTACCAGAAAAACCAAGAAAATACATTAGTGACCTCCTGATTAATTATGAACCATCCAGACCGCTCAGGTCGTCTAGGACAGGTCTGCTCTCTGTCCCCAGAGTCAGAACCAAACATGGAGAAGCAGCATTCAGTTTCTATGCTCCTTATATCGGGAACAAATTCCCAGAAAACTGCAGGTCTGCTGAAAGTCTCACCTCTTTTAAATCCAGGTTGAAGACACACCTGTTTACAGCTGCCTTTCATTAAACAATTTTAATAAGATTCTAAACTTTTTGTATTTTTACTTTATTTATTTGAATAAATTTTATTTGAATTATTTTGATTTGAACATATGTTCAGATTTAATAATTCCAGTGATTATATATTTTTTAATGTTATATTTTAATGTTTCTTTTCTTTCCTCTGTCATGATGCTTTTGATGTCTTGTGTGAAGCACTTTGAATTGCCTTGTTGTTGAAATGTGCTATATAAATAAACTTGTCTTGCCTTACATTTGTCATTTAAGTTTGATCTGTGTTGCTGCACGGAGAATCAGTTTGACTTTGACATCCTTCTTTCAGTTTAAAAGAAAACTTAAGACCTGGAAGAAATAACATGATAAAAATGGATATTTATAAGCCTATAAAGATACCTGACCTGGGAATAAAGTCATATCGTCCTGATGAAATTAAGAAAACCAACTCTTTATGGAAGTAAGATAACAAAGTGAGATATGTTAACATAGATATTATCTTCAAACAACTTTCTATGTCTGCAACCAGAAGTAATCTCACAAGAAAAATTAGGCGATGACTCCTGGCATTGATAGACACACATCTGTAATGTGCTCATTCTGGATGTTACTGGAGGTCAATATATACATATTATAGTCTCATCTTTTCAGGGCACACTTTACCATAGAGAGTTCAGCAACATCGCCATCTTGTGGCCATTTGATATATTTGCAGTTCTCAAATAGAGTACCGGTACACCATAAATCTGTCTAAAGAGCAGGTGCAACATTCACGCTACCTCTGAATTTTTCTTCAGAAGTAACTTCTAATACTGATTTATTTCTAACATCCTGTCATTTCTTCACTTCTTTATACGTTTAGATTTGTTAATTTGACTTAAGAATATCTGATGCACTTTCAGTTTTATTTTCTGAAATGTTTAGTATATCAATAAAAGAGGATCATGAGGGTAAAGACCAATAACATGGGTGTGGTGGAGATATAAATGTCAGATGTTTTAAAACCCTGAGCGTCATAAAAAAAAAGCCTTAAGCAGCTATGGCTATATAAATGACATTTACCACTTGTCAGATCAGCATCAGAAACATTAGCTTGATGTAAATGCAACGTCTTACGGCTTCAAAACATTAAAAACTATATAGATAGATTTTTTAAAGTTACAGGGAGCTGAGGAAACGTGTTAGTACAAAAAGAAGGACTTGGACGATTGGAGGAAAATTTGGAGGTTGGTTTTCTAGTTATAGTCGATTAAATTCATGGTTGGCTTTTGGTAAGTTGTATCGTTATTTTAAACTGATGGTTTAATTTACCAATTTTGCCTTTTAGCTTGTGTAAAACTGAGGTTAGCCTACTTAATAAATGACTGACTTCTTTATCTAGTCGGGGCAAAATGGCAAGTCCGAGCAAAAAGGCAAAAAAGTGAGTACCTCTGTCTTTGTTAAACTAGTTTACAATATCCCAATATTATAGAGCAATAATTTTAAGTTGGAAGTTTCAGCACGAGTTCATTCTGTGAATGCTTTTTTTTTTTATTCTACAGAACGATCATCACCAAGGTACAACATATCACACACCTTACCACACATCACACTTTTTTATGCGGCTGGAGAGATAAGAGAGAATAAACAGAACAAACAATGACGACTTGTTGAATAAACCGCACACAAACACACCTCCACAAAGTTAAGCCTGTGTACATATATTATCCATTATCAGTCTAAATTAAAAATCTAATTAACTGGGAGTGTTTCGTTCTCTAGATGCTTATTATCCCCACCAGTGGTGAGGACAGCTAGCTTTGTGCACCTTTACTATCCAAACCAACCCTCTTTGTTCTCCTTTCCTTTAATCCTAAAAAAAAGGAAGAGGAACACAGACTGTAGGCTATTGAAATAGGACATTTTCAGTGTCCAATGATTTGTTCTCTTTGTTCTACTAGATGCTTAATCTCTCCACCAGTGGTAAAGCCATTGAAGCCATTATTTTTGCAGCATCAGCTTTATTCTAGGGCTCATTTGGCCTCATGCTCATGCTATGGCTACTTCTCATGTCTCCTAAATTGCATCCACGTTTCCTTCTCTTGCTTCCCTCACTTGCATGGAGAGACGCGAGGAAACGAAGCAGAGGAGAGAGGAACTAGGAAATATGTTTTAAGAGACGTCCTTCCCTAGAGCATCACGTGAAGCAACATTCGTTTGTGATAAAGACATCAGCTGATCCCGGGTCGGCTTTAACAGCTGTTTATGTCCGCACAGATAACAGTAACAGTGTTATCTGAGTAGCCTCCTTTACCTGATATACACCTGCACATGAAGAACAACCTGCAGCCTGCTTCTAAAACACGTAGGCATACAGACAATTTCTACAGGCAAAAGTCTTTATTATTAAATTATTTATGAATTATTTGATTTAAATCATAATCTAAACTAAACTCTGTATTTTATAAACACTAAGGGTGTCTCAGGATTATTGAGAATTTTTACAAGGATCAAAATGTAAGAAAAACAGGATGCATAACCTTTTCAAAACCTACGATCATTAGCCTCATGAAAATGATGAATGCAAAACGTGTTGGTGACTGACAGACAGTCATTCTCATCATGATCAATTTAAAAAGGGCAAACAGTGTGAGTGACCCTGAAAAGAAATATGAGCTGTTCTAATCTAATGGAGACATTTATGATCCTTTCGGTTTTAACTCTTAAAATTAACAGATTTTTTGTTTGATGGTGAATCACAAAACAAATCAAATAGGCTAAAAGTCGGGTTTGACACTCTTATATTAATTTTACGGGACTTATAGCCTACTTAATATTTCGTTGTTTATTTCATGTCAAACACTTTTTTTGTCCCCAGTTTATCACAGACGGACTCTTTACAAACTGACAGATGTTTACAGTTTGTTTCAATGTCCGATGTGTCCGTTTAGACTCTTTTTAATGTCATCTTTTCTCCGCTGTGAAACTCCGCTGATGTTGATAAGTTTCACTGAAGTCCGATCCGCTGCAGCATCCAATCACTGAGTGATATACGAGACGGAGGCGGGTCTGTCAGTTAAAAGACTTCCTGGAAAGATGCGCTTGTGTTTCCTCGATCATAGCTCCTCATAGTTATTATTTTTCTCAACATGTTTAACTCAGTTCATCATTAAGTCCTTTTGGAGCCGATGTTTACAAAGTGTGAATCCAGTACGCCTCACGCTGATAAGAAGTTTATCATTTGATGAATGGTAGCTCGGACCGTGTTTTTATTTATTTATTTATTATCTTTACAGGGGCAGCGCACAATTAAATGTAATTGCATCATTAGCTAATAGCTAAATTGCATCTGTTGTACCAGTGCATGTGCATTAAGTGATCCTTATTTCCCCCCCCCTCTTTAATTAACAAACAGGGAAAGGTGTTTGAAAATGGTGGAGAGCTCACTATCTGACTTAAAGATGTGCCAATGTTTTTTATAAACAGTTTGGATTGTGCTCGAGTGGTTAGAGTGTTGCATGGTGCACCTCACAGAGAACTTCTTTCCCTTTTTGACACGTTTTTTTCACTAAATCCGAGTTGTTTTTTTGAGGGCTAATTCATATGCATCTTTTATCTACAAAGATGGGTATCTCCTCTGAGAGAACCAGTTTTTCATGTCCACAGCACTTTTCTTTAAAATCCTCTGTAGAATGAAAGATCCTCCTCAAATGAAAAAACTGGTGTCCGTGTCCTTCCGGTACAGTGTAGTGAGAAAAGAGCCAATGAGCCTCATTCACTAATATATGCATAGAAATGTTCTTACTCTGCCCATAAAATAAGTGCATACGCAAAATCACCGTCGGATTCATGACACTTGGGTACCAGCAGATTTTATGGTCTCACCACCTTGTGTGTGTTAGTGAATCAGAATCATTCTAATTCGACAAACGCTTGCCCGCAACCTGCAATCAGCACACTACAAGGCCCCCATCTCCCCACATAAGGGCCCTTTCCGAATAGCCACAGTTCAGTATGCAGTGTGTACTTTTCAGTAAGGAGTTTCAGTATACTGAACATTTCAGCATGGATACTAACTTCCGGGTTTTATGCAGTATGGATCGGATGCATCCTTTCAGGAAATGAATTGTATTTTACCACCCACAATGCTGTGCGAAATTAAACATAAATCGTCACTTCACGTGCGCATACAAATCAAAACAAACGAGCATGGATTAATTGAGTACATTTTTAATCTAGAGTTAAAGTCCCGTCTGAAATCGTTACTTTTAATTAACAACAGAAAATATAACAAATGTCTGCATTATTATAAAACCTTTCCCCCTAAATTTAAATAATGATTTCACTATTTAAATGCGTCTTTATTGGTTTATTTTACTTTATATTCTGTATATTACTGTCTTTCATTTGTACTTTCCTTTATGTACTGTATGTTATTTAGTTATTTAATCTGTCTTTTACTTGATTTACATTGCGATATTGTTTTTTGTTTACCTGACTGTATATGCGCATTACTCCTCTTGAATAAAGCTAAACAAAAAAAACAAAAACGGGTGGATGCGGACGGTTCGGGTAACGTATACTGATATACAGCTGATAAGTCCATTCGATCTGCAGAGTCCCTCTGCAACTTTCAGAAAAAGCTAAAGACCCAGCTCTTTCATGAATACCTATAACCTAATGATGATGGTCTTGATATTATTGATGATGGTAATGACGATGGTTTTTGTTTGATAACGACGACTTATAAGATGGTTTCTATACTGATTAGAGCTCTCAAGAACTGCCCTCAATGTTGTGCTTTGCCTCTGGTCACTTACTGTCAGCACCTGTGTGTCCAATCGGACTCAAAGCGGATCGTTTGCTCTTACTGACATTGTTCCCTTTTTTCTAGATCCTTGCTTGTGTTGTACTTACTCTCTGATGTACGTCGCTTTGGAGAAAAGCGTCTGCTAAGTGAATTGTAGAATTGTAGAATAAGTCATTCTTCACACTCTTCAAACATGTTTTGACGGTCTGATGCGTTCTCTTCTGAAGGCACGGGCTGCTATTTCTTTCAGCAAGGCTACAGCTTTCCACATTCTTAGACCTAAATCACAATATCACATGCATGCCCTCAAATAGGCTCCAATTAATCACCTGGTTTTGGTAACAGATGCAATATTTCATGACACTATTGGTGGGAGTGGTTGACGATTAGATTTAAGATTTTAGATTAAAGAAGTCTAATAAGGATGAAAAGGCATACATTTCATGGTTATTTAATACATTTAGTCAATGCATTAGTAAATTAACGTTTTTAATTATTGTCTATTCAACATTTTATATAGGCTATATATAATATGTCATGCATTTAGTTAAGAGTGTATGTTAGCATTTTCTGATAAAACTGGTAAATCATTTGTGAATATACATGGTCTAAAGAAGCTATTTTTTTGTTCACAGAGTAAGAACAAATTAAAGTAAAAACATAATTGATGAATCTCAGATTTGTGCAGCAAACGTTCTTACGAACGGATTAAGAACAGATTTGTGTGTACGCACTGTTTGTGAACGAGGCCCAATGTCTTTTATAACCCACATGTCTAAGAAACTTACTCTGTCATAGCTAAAGTTAGTTTGAAACTCCATAACATTTAGACAATGGAATCTCCTACACACCTGTCTTATGATGTGGATGTTTGAAGGTTTTTCTTTGATGTTGTGTTTTAGGCATTTCATTTAGCTTTTCGCTAGCTTTTGTTTGTTTGTTTTCTGCCAGATGTTTAATGATCCCATCCATGGTAGCATAGAGTTACACCCACTCCTCATCAAGATCATTGACACACCTCAGTTCCAGAGACTTCGATTCATAAAGCAGCTTGGAGGTGTCTACTTTGTTTACCCTGGAGCGTCTCACAACCGCTTTGAACACTCGATCGGGTAAGTCAGCAAGTTTTCAGATTTCAGCCCACAGGTGACCTCAGTCCAAATAAGGAGAAGACTCATGGTGGTTTTCACATAAACACCTTGTAAAACCAATAAAGGCAGAAAACAGTGCCTGTCTTAGTATGGATCTAATAAAAGTATATATTTTCATTTTGGTAGCAGCATCCTATTGTGATAACTGCGTTATGACTTTAAAACATTTTTTTTCTGTGGTCTAAAAAGGGTGGGATACTTAGCAGGAAAACTTGCTGAGGCTCTCAGGTCAAGGCAGCCAGAACTCAACATCACTGACAGAGACGTCCTTTGTGTTCAGATTGCTGGCCTCTGTCATGACCTGGGTGAGTAATGCATCCCTTTTCAATATTACATATAATAGTTTATAAATTATGTTATTGGGTATGAAAAGAGTAAAATGAAAGTGAAATGATCCAGAAATAACCCTTCCATCTTTCAAAAAAGCAAGGGCTTCTGCATTAATACATAAAAAATACAAGGGTGGGGTGAGGTGGTGGTAGCTCGGTCTGTAAAGGGACTCTGATAAGAACTGGAGGGTCTGAATCTTTAAAAATAATATTTAGACTCAGAAAACTTTAACCCAGAGGGCGTTTCGGTACCACAGTCCACCCAGATCATGCATACATTTACAAACACATAACAGTCTTTCTTGTAAGCAATATTCTCAAGTTTAGATTCAGGAGTAATCCATCCTCAACTCAAACAGGTTTATTAAGACATACTGACTGTATAATCTGTACACTATCAGTGGATTACGCCTGTATTTATCTATCCATTTCAAGGTCATGGACCCTTTTCCCATCTGTATGATGGACTGTTCCTCCCCAAAGCACTGGAAGAAAAGGGGGAATCAAAGAAATGGAAGGTAAAAAGTTTTTATTTCTGTTGTAATATAACAAATGAAATACAGAGGAACGGCAAAACTGAAGCACATGTACCTTTCACACTGGCTTGTTCTTTTGAAACAAAATCCAGGATGTTCTTTTTTGTTTGCTTTTTCAGGTGTAATGGGATTATGCACATTTCCAAGGATGTTGATCTATTTATTTAATAACAATGAATGGTGTAGCTTGTGTTGCTAAATGACCCTCATTATTCTCTTTGGTAATATTATGTCAACTTTTTATCTGACATGTTACCGCTTTTCAGAAGCTCCATGAGATTTTACTAAATGTTTATTTTTTAACCATTAATCCTGGTGATTCAGAGATTTAGATACAACAAACAAAGATAATAATTGAATTCATGGTTCATGAGAGGTAATTCTTTATGACAGGGAACTCTTTTAAAAGCAGAAGGGATTTCTAGATCTGTTTATGTCTCTTTGTCACTCAATAAGAGAAGATAACCTTTATTCATCCTACAACGGGCAGCAAAGAGCAAGGATAGCCAAAAAAGAGCACACAGTGCACCATTCAATAACTTCAGATCAAAAGAGTGCGATTGTTGTGTTTACACCCAAACAAACCGGGCTAAAGGGGAAACGCCCCTTTGTTTCAGAACAACTTTTCCAAACTATCCAGGTGTGAAAAAACAAGCATGATTACCTTCCCAAAAACTCTTATGCTTAACAGTTTGACATCGGGTTGAGTTCAGCTAGCTAAATAACCCTGATAAAGACTGTTAGGATGTTGTATACAGTATATTGGCTGACATTAAGTGGCTCGTCAAATTCTGAAGCGCTTTAGGAACTCTGACATTGTAAATTGTTTTACATACTGTACGTTTGAAATATTCTCTTCAAATGTGGGGGAAATTAAAGTATGTGGGATTATTATATTTATGTTTTAAATCTTGTGTTGACACATTTATGAGTCTGTGTGTCTCGCAGCATGAAAATGGCTCTTGTGACATGCTAGACCACCTGCTGAAAGAGAATAATCTTGAACCAGTGATGGAGAAGTATGGACTGAAACCTGAAAAAGACATAACATTCATCAAGGAGATGATTGCTGGACCTCTACAGGAATCTAAAAGCAAGAAGGCAAGTTCACCTCATTATGTTATTCAGAAGTCGGATAAGATACTGTATGAATATTAGATAAGAGAAGATAAAACTTTATTCATCCCACAACGGGCAGCAAAGAGCAAGGATAGCCAAAAAGAGCACACAGTGCACCATTCAATAAAAAAATAGATCAAAAAAGTTGAGGAGCCAAAATAGTGTGATTGCTGTGTTCACATATGTCTGAACAAACTGGGCTATGGTTTCAGAACAACTTTTCCAAACTACCCAGGTGTGAAAAAACCCTTAGAGAGAAAACGGAGTTGCAGTATCACCTTCCAAAAAACTCTTGTGCTTAACAGTTTGACTCTGGGTTGAGTTCAGCTAGCTAAATAACCCTGATAAAGACTGTTAGGATGTTGTATACAGTATATGTCCACAGAAAATTGGCTGACATTAAGTCACTCAACAAATTCTGAGGAATTACTAAATGGAAATATTGTTAATATGTAAAAGCAATAAAGAAAGTTAAAAAAAAGAAAGAAAAGGCAAGTTCACCCCATCTGTGCATAAATCAGTCTGTGTCCTACACTAATGTCACTATTTTGTAACATCTCCTCAGTTTAAAGGCGGACAAGAAGAGTCCTTTTTTTGTCGTGAAATTTTTTTTGCTTCTGCCTAGACCTCCAATTGAAATTGGACCTGCTGTTTAATTTGTCATGCTTTTACTTGTACATAGTTTATTGTGTTCATATTTTAGCTTTATCTCTGTTTCGTGGAATGGTCCTACATATTTTTCTATGCAGTGTAAATTCATTGAACAACATACGTGTCAATAAAACTGGTCCTGATTCGCTTTGTGTCGTCATCCCTGCAGTGGCCGTACAAAGAGCGCCCAGAAGAAAAGTCCTTCCTCTACGAAATTGTGTCCAACAAAAAAAACGGCGTTGATGTGGACAAGTTTGACTACTTGGCCAGGTCAGGTTTTAATGAAGTGCTGTAGAGCAATTCATTTTGTGATGAAGACCGTGACAGCACTTCTTTTTTTTTTTACCTTGAACAATGCATTATTCTCCTGATTTATTTTAAAATGATACAGCACTCAACAGTAAATTCAGTTTCCCTCTATACACCTATTTTCTTCACATTGCCTTAATCTGTCTCTACGGTAATGGAAATATTTCCCCCGTGAGAATACGAACAAAGACGAAAACCCCAATCATCTTTGTGAGGTTTTATTCCTACAAGAAGTTGCAGGAAGAAGAAACTGTACAGAGTGTATCATGGTGACCACACTGCAGAGTAGCTCAAATGACATACAGAATGAAGTCTCCTTTTATACATGTCAAAGAGGAAACAACAACATTGACAAGCTCCTGTTGTAGGAGATAAGCAGTTTAACACAATCAACCTGAACAGAGGAATGTTTAGTCCATGTAGAGTCATCCTTGTAGAAATCAAAGGTTATCCAAACACATGATGCTTAATCTAAACCAGCATTTCATGAAATGTCACACAGTTCACATTAGAATTACTCTAACACATCTGCTAAATATATTTTTCCCCATTACACTACTCAGGGACTCTTTATACCTGGGAATCAAGAACACCTTTGACTTTCATCGCTTCCTGAAGTTTGCCAGAGTGTGTGAGGTTGATGGAAGGAAAACTATCTGCACCAGAGACATAGTATGACAAACTTGAGCTTGTAAACAGATAATTGAAAGCAAACTGATAATGTTGTTATTTATGACTAAACTACAGTCCTAACCTCAACAGGAGGAGGACAATATGTACCACTTGTTCTACATAAGACACCGTCTCCACAAAAGAGCCTATCAGCACAGAGTAAACAAAGTCATTGAACATATGTAAGTGTCTACCTTCAGATCTTAGTACTCCAAATATAAGATTGGTCTCCTTCTGATTTCCATTGTTTGATCTGCGTCATGATTCACTATCTCATCAGTAATAACATGTTTGATATGAACATACAGGATTGCAGAGGCTTTTTTGAAAGCAGACGGTCACATTGAGATTGAAGGATCAGGAGGGAGGATGTTCACTCTCTCTACAGCCATTGAGGACATGGAGGCCTACACAAAGCTCACAGGTGTGTAGATTTAAATGTGTGCTGTTAGCTCATGTTTAACATTGAAGCAAATTCAGACTTCAGAAATATCAAGACATTGTTTTAAATAATGCACTACACCCAACAATCTGAAAAGGAAATTGATGTAGGCACTTGGTCAGTTTTGGTGTTTGGTGTAAGACTACTGTTATGCTACTTTATCAATTTTTTTAATTATGCACATGTAAATGAACCAGATCATGTTAAATAAGTTGTAATGACTTATAAATTAATATGCCATGTTTTACAATTTATTGAGTGTGTTTGAATTAAATTCACTAATTTTTTTGTGTGTATAATTAATAATCGTTTGCTTGTTACTCTGTTACTCTTTTAGACAACGTGTTTGAGGAAATACTGAAGTCTTCCCGTCCTGAGTTACAAGAGGCAAGAGAGATTCTGCAAAACATTGTCTCTCGAAAGATCTACAAGTTTGTTGGTGAGACAAAGCCAAAGAAGACCATCAAGGATTGGAAAGTAAGTCTGTGTTCTTGTGTTTCATTACATTTATTATACATGATCTCATGCACCGTTATCATTTATCATATCGTTGTCATACAATACAAAATCCCTCAGTGAACTAATGCTGCATGATATTGGGGAAACTGCGTTTTCTTTTCATGTTCATACTATTACAATTTTTATTATTATCTGAGTCTTCAAGTTTATTTTCTTTTACAAATAAGAACCCCTTATACATTCAAAGCTACATTTAATTTGCATCAAGAGCCCTGTGACATTAACTTCTAAGCAAAGAACAGTTCATCTTCATACACTGCATATGATCTCTTCACTCTCTCTCCCTCTACACTTTATGTGCTCATGGACTAACACACGTCCTGGGATATTACCATGGCACTTGTACACATAGCAAAATTAATGCTTAGATCATACCATGCAGCCCTACAGTCAAACGCATTTACACTAAGTTGGTGCAGTTTTTTGAGTGAATGTGAATTGAATTCCAAGTTTCTTACATTGTCAACTTAAAATGCAAAAAAACTTGAATCTATATCCTTTTCCACTGTTGTAATTTTTTTCTGATTCCTTGTCAAGAGCCGGATTTCTGGCTGGAAAGAAGAATTGGCTCAACCCCTTCCTGACGAGGAAGAAAACAACCTGAAACCAGAGGACTTTGAAATCCTGGTGAGTTTTTTTTACTTTCTTTCATCTCACTTTTTTGTAAAATTTTCAATTTTGCTGATTCTTTGATTTGTAAGATGTTGCAGAGTTTGTTATGGCACACATTTTACTCTCGACCTTCTTTTTAGGTCATTAACATGGACTACGGCATGAAAGATGAGAACCCTGTTGAACATATGCATTTCTACAGCAAGAAGGAGCCTGACGTGGCAATGCCAATGTCCCCTGAAAATGTCAGAACTAATTATTGATTAAAACAATTTTTTTATCGCAATCATTCAATATTTCTTATGTTTATTATTTGTAAGGCAGCTTATGTCACCATAACTCTCAAATTAAAGCTGCTGTCATTCATTACAGGCATCCAGGATTAGAACAGAGATCTTTTCTGAGCAGCTGATCAGGGTCTTCTGTAAGAAGATTGATGAACAGAGTGTGGAGGCTGCCAGACAGCACTTTGAACAGTGGTACAATGATTTTCCAATCCTTAGATAGTAGTTGAATATTAAGATGTTAAAGGATACAATATCGACTAACTTGCTGTTGATTGAACATAAAACCAGTTGATTTGGCTGAAGTAAATAGAAAACAGTCAACACTGAGTACAGTTTATTTAATATGGTTGAACATGTGATCTACAATCTGCTGAGTGTGGAAAACATTAGCTGTGCTAGCATCCTCAGCCTTCGGTCTTCCTTTCAGGTTAACATATGCTTACCTGTGCTGGTGAAGCTCTACTCTAATAGATTTGATACTTTAACTTAACAAAATACTGCCAAAGTGAGCAACACTCCAACATGTTATTGGTCCTTTGTCCTGGTTTGCATCCAGGTTAGACAGCAAGTCTAGACAGTCAGTCAGGTTTCTGTACTGAAACAATTTTACTGACCTGTATTGGAACCGTGCAGGACTCTGGTTTGGGGCCCTCAGGTTAAGAGAGGTAAGCAACAGCAGCATGGGAGTGAAACCAAAAGATTAACCAACCCTCTGGTTTCTTCAACTTTCACTCAGGAGCAAAAATCAGCTTTTAAATGTGAAAATTTGAAAGTAATAATGATTGATAATTATTGTGATAATTATATCGACTGATATGACATTTTGACAACATTTTTAGTTTTTTTAGCCCAGGCCTATAAGCTACGGGTCTTATTTTGAATAACATGTATCCTTCATTAAAAGAAAAACGGACATGTTAAAAAAAAAATCCCTCTTCATACAGTGTGTGCTGATTGAGACATGAGATAATCAGACCAATTTAGTTTTTGAATCGGGCTGTAAACATGTTTATTTCTGTTGTAAAAATTGGCTTTTCTGAATGGGTGTGTATGTGACATATTAATATATGCAGTTAGTGGTTTTACTACATTGAAAGGCTGTTTTAATATATGAGCATTAGAATGGAACAATGAGCAGGGAGGGAATGATTGCATAGTGAAACAAAACTTCAGGATTCTTTTTTTTGCATATACATGATTTTGATCCTTTTTTGATGCAAAATTAATGTTGGTGTCTTCAAACTTTTGTATTTTCCTACCAACGGACAAAAACTTTGAAATAATGTATTTTATTACTTGAGATTTACAAAAACTGAAAGTTCTCACCAGTGAGATGTTGGATCTGCATGATGAGTGCATTGTTTTGATTTAAAATAAGTTGAATGTTGGATTGTTTGTTAAATAGAATCATTTCTTCTTCAGTTTATCTCTCACTAGGTTACTCTGCACTGCTTTCTTTAAAACAGATGTACTTTTGTGTCTGTATTAACATGCAGGTTAAGGATGGAGCCAAATCTGCTTGGACCTGAGGGTAATTAGAGCGATCCTCCTGAAGTTGACACCAAGGAACTTACCAAACAACATGAATAACACTGAATAATATTCGCATTCAGACCTAGCACTCGTGTTTTTTCTCGCTTTTATCATATACATGCTGTATCATTCTTTTAAATTGATTGTTTAAAAATCAGTTCCAACAACACACAACATGTTTTTATTCTGAGGACAAAGATAAATCATAATATATGATACCACTCTGTACAATTACGGGGCCTGCAGTCAATATGAAACAGTATCATTGGCCCATTTAATTCACTGTGTTACGCTTCTATCGACTCCACAGAAAACCCATTCAAAATTTGATACAGAAAAAATTGGATACTTTTTTTTAACATTAAGGAAAATATATATAGTTATAAAGCCATATCTCAAAGATCACTGGATCTGGATCGCTTCTGGATTTGAATTTCTGATCTCTAAACTGATACATAGACACACATGACACTGGATACTTACACAGGCAGCTATGGCTGTTGAATACCATTTAGGTAAAGAAAGCCATTATTGAAATCCAACAATCATTGTCTCAAACTGAATATATAAACTGCATGTTTCTGAATTGATTCAGCTTTTGGTCACATTTATGCTTCTTTGTAGGTTGTGAATTTTTTTGGTCGGGGAAGATGTAAAGCACTCCCAACATGTGTAATGGAGTGAATATTTCACTTGTGGTTTATTTAGGGATTTATAATACTCAGTGGTGTTTTAGTTTTGATGTTAATCGTTTGAAGATTGAGGACATGAGATTAGATTATTTGTCTTTGAGTGGTGTTTAATGAGAGATGATCATGAGTGATGTTTTGGTGACTGGTATTATCTTATATTATATTACTTTGTATCTGCAGCATTTATTATCACAATACAATTTTAACCTGTTTTAAAATGAGTCTTATTTTGGGCATGTTTTATAATGTGCTCTTCTTTTGAGTTTATGATTCTTACTTTAAAAACTGGAACTTGTGAAAACCTTTATTTGCATCTAAAAACTTGAAATTCGAATTAAACAATACATTTTTAAACGTATCCATCAACTACCTTTCTTCAATGGATGATGAATGTGTTTAAATGTATGACACACTTTAAGTGAAGCTATAATTGTTTGACGATTGGTTCTTACATAATGCATCTATGAGAACCTTTCAAGTGTATTCCTGTTGTGATGGGTTCATATCTGATAAAATCTGCATGTATTCAAAATAAACATCAGAGAAAATCCTGAGTTCAACATTGTGTAATCTATCAAACCATATGCATCTATATATATATATGTATATATATACTGTATATATCACCTGTGGTACAAATCTAATTGCAGTTCAAAGTCCTTTACAAAGGAGCGAAAAAATGACTGACAAAAGGTAGTTTGTAAAATATAACAGCAATAAGAAATAAAATCAGCACAATGATTAATAAATATAAATACTAAAAACCTAAAATCAAACACTAAAATGTAAATTTAAAAGTAGAGATGAATAATATTGATTAAAATATAGTAAATTAAAAGCCTTAAAATGATTAAGTCATATAGAAAAGCCAGACTGAATAAATGAGTTTTTTAAATTGTTTTTAAAAATCTCAATATTCTCTGATCCTCTGAAGTCTGTTCCAAAGTCTCAGAGCAGCAAAACGCAGAATCACAAAAGGTTTTTGTTCTGCTCTGTGGAACAACTAAAAGAAGAACCATAGAAGAACAAGAAGACCTGAGGGGTCGTCCTGGTTCATAAACTAAAATCACTCTGAAAAGTTAATCTGGTGGGAGGCCAAGTGCTTTAGACAATAATAAAATCAATATGAAGACAAAGAGGCAGCCAGTGTCAAGACTTTCAAAGATAGTGTAAGATGGAGATGAGATTTATTTTTGTGAAGTATTATTTTATAGATCTTTATTTTGATTAGGTTGAGATAATATACATTATTTGATTTAATGCTAATTTCATTTATATTTACAATTTGTACTGTACAAGAGTATCTGTTTGATATGATGCACTATGCCTTTAAGG